ACTACTGCAATGTCAGCGAGGACAGTTTTTGCCTCGCACGCAAGCTCTCTTCCACGATTAACAAGCTCACGGACGAGAATGACCTGAAGAAGATGGAAGGTGGGATTGAAGTGAATCTCGTGAAACATACCTCTAAGGAGTTGGATGGAGCTAAATTACAGGCAGCTTGAACATCTTCGATGCATGGCCTTCTTCCACGCAAACATCTCACACAAAGGTAGGCACCTTCGGGAAGTCGATCGAGGAATGGATCCCAGTCACAGCACGACACTAGAAAGATGTTTCAGCTGAATTGCGAAATAAATTTGTCCGCCATTACCATGATATTTTGCCCGGCAAAGGATACAGATCAGTATATCGGAAGGCTGCTGCGAAGTACTGCTCAAACAGATACAGGTGTCGACAGTTGAACGCTTCGAATTTGCATCTTGCAATGATCCTATAAATTTGACTAAAGCCTTGTACCGCCAGAATATCTGGTAGTAAACACACCAATGAGTGCACGTTGTTGGTCTCGCAGTGCATGAATGTGTTGCTTCATTTCATGGCACGATGAGAACTCTCGCAGTTGTACCCTGAGATAGCATACAGACCTTCATCTATGTAAACAATTACATTATTAGTCTATCCATCATATCCCGGGTTTTCGCAGTGTTGCCACCTCAGGGATTATGAGATGAAGAAATTTGTTCTTCAGTTTAATGGATATTAAAAATTAATAAAAGCAAGGGACAGTCTTACAAGACTCGCGGAAGTGGTACATATGTGAACATTCGCGTTGCCGCTTACGCTATGCAATGTGCACGGTAAGAATAAAAATGAACAAACAAAACCAAGCATGTCTACCACAAAGAAGGATTGTGATTTTCTCACAAAATAATTTAGAGTCGAAGAAGATGGAGAGTAGACGTAAATGCACTGCAAAAATGGTGATGCTGTACAAATGATATAGATTCGCAGTCACTGCAGCTTCGCAGTCTCGCTGCTCGCGATGTGAAAGACCGACAGTAGAGAACAAGCAATAAAAGCATGTATAAAAACACACCATTGATCCTCGGGTGCAGGAGAATCTACCAAAAAACGAGGAATAATTTGACCCTCCACAAGCGGCGCAATGTCTTCACGATCTCGAACAATCTCAAATGTACACTTGCTCATGAACAATATTTATTTCCTCTGAAAAATAGTACCTCTACTAAGTTGTAGTACGACGATGGCTTTTGGAACAAACTCATCAGTCTATGAGTGAACTTCAGCAAGCTGTCACGCGCAGACATTAGCTGCTTGTGTAGTTCAGAGTTAAAAAGAAACCTGTAAGAATATGTCTTCCTAAAGAAACATAAGTTGATTGACGCATTTACTTAGACTCTTCGCATTCTTTGATAAGATCCAGACAATCATTAAGCGATGTTTCCTTGTCACTAGTTCTCTCTCGTACAGCGCGCAAACGAAGTAGCTCTTCCCTTATTTTGTCCATTGCTGAAACGAGAGACTGTAAGAAAAAGCTACGACGCTTACGCTTCTCAAAGAATCAACATTGCTCAAAAAGCCTAAAAATAACCTTTTTAAACTGAATTACAAGATGAACGAAGAAATGCAACTTGTAAAATATAAGTTAATTAAATTAGAAATAAAAAGGTAAGAATACCATTTAAACAACGATAAACAATGTTTACCAAATCAAAAAAAAACTCTAAGATAACCTTTGGAAGTCATCCAATCGGACTCACGAATTTCACCCCACAACTTCTCAATATCTGCTTCAGTTGCGGCTGGATCAGCAAAAAGACGTTCCACCTGGATGATTTCAAATCACTGATTTACACAAATATGAATATTATTATAATATACAAATATTTTGTCACCTAAATTTACCTTTGACTCAGCCAATAACGCGGTTTTCAAAAGATTATGGAGGCTATTAACAGAAGAC